AGCGCGTTTTGACAACATCCTGATCTTCTTCCCATAGAAGAAGAACAAATACGGAATCGGGACCATCGCAAGCGATATGAAGCCCCACGTGCTCGCCGCCCACTGGGTGCCCATGTTGTGGTACATCGCGGTGATGAAGAGGGGCATGGCGGCGCCACTGCCGGAACGGATGACGGTCTTGGCGGCGAGCGCAGAGGCGACGCAGCCGGAGAAGGTCTCGATGAGGTAGGCGTTGGCGGAGAAGTAGACGGTGACCATCCCGAAGCCGAAGGGGATCCCGGAGGAGACGGGGCCGAACCAGTTGCCGCCTCCGGGGAGGACGACGGGGGGTGAGGTCCAGCCGAATATGAACATGGCTGGTGGAAGAAACGAGGTCATTATTTCGAGTAGCAATAAATTGGCGGAGGGAGCTTACAGATTGGGATAGCGGGGGCACCGACCATCATACCCATGAGCCTGTCCTCGGGCTCAGCACCAGCTTTGGATTGAGACTTCCTCAAGTATCGTTTTTCAAGCAAGGGTGTCGCGCACAAGGCCAAGAGGAGACCAACCCAGATGGACGTGAGCGCCACACCTGTTTGGCCCTCATTGAACTTGTAGTCTTCAAGGAATGTGATGGGGAAGCTGAAGAAGAACGCGTACTGGAAGTGGTGTCAGCGCCTGTCATATGCGAGCTGTCACAGTGATACTTACGAGTAGACCGTAAATGAGAGCGATGTATAACGAAAGGAGGAGGAGGATTGGTTCAGTCGCAAGCATAGCTGGGATCAGAGTCGTCAGCTGATGAGCCGGCGCAGCAGGTGAAGGCGGTACTCACCGAAAGGCCTGATCATGTTCTCCTGCAACATCTCACCAAAGGAAGACTTGAAAAGTTCCTGCTCAGTCGCAATGTTCTCGTCGCCAGTTTCTTTACGGAGGCGTTCGGCACGTCTCCGGAGGATAACAGGCGCGTAAGTCTCGGGGAGTGTGCACTCCATGACGAAGACAGCTCCAGCGAACATCATGTTGATCTGTGCAAAGAAGCTCAGCGTTGCGTCTTCCGTGGCTAGAAGATGAAACATACCCAGAAAATCCATCGCCAGCCAATAGCGTCACCAACGAAACCACCAACGATGGGACCAAGAACGGGTCCACCGTAAGGTGCCGCGGCAAACAAAGCAATAGCGAATCCACGCTCGTCGTTATCCCAGATATCGGCAATCGCACCACCAGCAATGGCAAACGGCGCAGATGAAAAGATACCGCAGAAGAATCGACAGATCAAGAGCGTCTGGATGTTCGTGGCTACGGCGCAAGGGATGTTGAACACTGTAGATGTTGTTAGAGACGTGATTGGCAGATAAGTAAGTGGCCATGAGGCAGTACGTACCAACATAGATGAAAGCCGGTATGATCCATAGAGGTCTTCGTCCGTACAATTCACTCTATGAGAGAGTGAGCAACGTTGCATGGCGAGAGACGGGTAGAGGCATGAGCTTACCAAGGGAGCCCACAGGAGAGGGCCAATACCGAAACCACACACCATGAGACTGACACTCAACGATGCCACGACAAGACCGACATCAAACTCTGCTTGCACGTCTTCGAAATCGCCAGTAATGACCGCGCTGGCGAAGGCAGCGGAGACTACGGAGATACCATAACAAGCAGTCAACCCTACAGGACACGAGAGGATCAGTACGGTTAGAAGCAGAAGGAGCGATAACACTACTTACACCACTTGTACGCATTTGAGAAGTTACGTGGATCTTCTGGGTCGTTTTCGAGGAAGGTGACCAACTTCACATCCCTAAGTCGCCTTGCCTTCTCAGGATCTTGGAGGACTTTTGGCGTTTGCGGGACGTGCGACGGGACTGGTCGAAGGACTTCGCCTGCAGAGACGAAACCGGTGGCGGATGTGAAACGATACTCGTCCGTCAGACCACCTTCCGCGATGTTGGTGGTACGGTACGGGAAACTGAGATCGACCTCATTGGGGTTGTGGGATCGTGGCTCGTGAGGTCGTGAGACAGGCGAGGATGGTACGGGGATGGGGAAGTCATGAAGAGTGGGAGTATTACTGGGAGGTAATGAGTTAGACATGGCGAGAGATGAGATGGAACCAAGTCAGAAGAGAGAGAATAGGGAGTGTATTTAGGAGAGGGAGGAAGGAAGCGCAAATGCGCTGGGAGTGAAGTGAGGATAAACATACCGCTTCTGACCGTGCTTTTATACTCGCTGCCTCTACGGGTGCGTGCGGACGTGGGACTCTGGACGACAACTTGCGAACATAACCAAAGGCGGAGACCGGTATCGCAGAAAACATAGCTGCTTCTAGAGCGCGCGTTGAATCCCGGTTTGGTACCGCGACAGAGCGATCGAGATCTTCTGACAAAGCCCGACATAGGCTCTTTTTGGCAACTGTGCGCGCCTCAGTGCTCTTCGGGTGGAGTAGGATCGCAGCATCGGACTCTTGCAGACTGTGCGATACAACCCGATCAGAGAAACTCCCGGTGTGCACCTGGAGGGCGAGTCTCGACTGACGTTCGCATCATCTGGAAGTGTCGGTGAGCCAAAGCAAGCAAGCACCAGAGATACGGTTCGTACCGAGATAGTATGAGCAGCCCGATGTCGTTCGACATCGAAGAAGTCTCCGAACAGCTAGGTTGGTCTCTGCGGATGCGCATCACTGCCTTGTGGGCGTACCCCTGGGGCTCGTGGGGGTTGGACGAAAGTGGCGGGGGTCACGGTGTTCGTCGTACGAGAGCGTTTTGTTTGCTGGTCATCTTTGAGCCACAAGAAAAAACAATCAGTCATTACATGAATCGAATTTGTCTGGAGTTGCCTCGCTCGTACTTTGTGGCGATAGCAGCTGTTCGGAAAACGAAAGGGAAAGGTAAGTTGAGGAAGAGGTTTCCGTGTCAGACCTTCGTGTCCCGGGTCCGGCGACACTGCACTAGACGCCGCTCCACCGCTCCGAGTTCGAGCCGGTGGTGCATCATGCTGGTGCGGGCCATGCATTGCTCTGCGCTCTGGAGTCTGCAACCATCACGACCTCAAACTGCTCCTGCTGGATTGTCGACATGCTGCGTACTCTGCCTCGCCCGTGGTCTGGTACTTGGAGTCTTGCTGATCTGCGCCTGCACCTTCCGACCATGTACGCCCCGCCAGAACTGCACGACTACCACGCTCTCGCCCGCTACCTGCGCTATGAATTCCTCCAATTCTTCAGAGATCTCAGCTACGTCCAGTTTGTCTGCAAGGACGACTGGTCTCGGCTATGGAGCGACTTTTATGTTCGCCAAATCCTCTTCAAGACCGTCATCATCATCGTTCTCGTCTACGGCGTGGCAGACACGCTCGTTTACTTCTTGACAACCAAGTCCCGACGCCAACGCGCTCTGCTGGCAGAGCAGCGCGACAAGGACCGCAAACGCGCCATACTCCAGAAGCTTCTCACTGTCATCACTCCTACTCGATCCCTCTGGTCGGACAACTACTGGAACCTCGCAAAGAATGCCATCAAGTCCCAGCGGTTGAGTATACCTGTGGTCGCGTTGGTGGATGGTTTAGCAAAGGGAGAAGTCGAGCTGCGAGATCCGCAGAAGAGCCTGCCAGACCTTCTCCTAGGCCGCTTGATGGTCGATGGGCTGGAGGTGCGGCTGGAATCCGATTCCTGGTTGCATGCGAAGGCCATGGTGACGAAACTACGACTGACGAAGAAACGTGTGGTGCGTGCTGCTTGATCTATGTGCGCTACCACTCGCTGACCAGCTGAATGCGTGTAGAAAGTCTCCCAGCGTGTGTATATGCGCTACATTGCTTCATGAGCTGCTAATGCTGACCGTATTTTCAGACTCTGGACCTCCCGGCCTCGACGACCATCCGACTCCGGACACGACATTATATCTCGACCGAACGCATCCCGCTCAAATAACGTCCTTCATTCGCACCTTCCAAGTATCCATCACCGTCGGCTCCACAGCCATGCTCGGCTTCTCAGCCCGTGGACCCAGCTTTCCTTCATCCCAAAAGGATCCCCTCTACGACTTTGCAGCTCTCCCTTTCCTTCCCCGTCGGCACTCAAAACGCGCCAAAGGCTCGCGCGAGCCAGACGCGCCGCGCTCAGCGCTCCGTACCCTCATCCCTCTCAAAACCACGCTCGACAACGTCGTATATCTGCTGACGTCCAGCTCGTCGCCGCTCACTATCAAATCCGTACAGAACGTCTCGGACGAGTATGCGACGCACCTCGATGAATATACAGACCGGTGACGAGCAAGCAGACGAGACGGAAGTTCCAGCAGGCCTGGGGCGTAGATGGGTGGCGAGAGGAGCGGCTGGTCGCAACTTGGGAAGCCGCGCTGGTGCGGGCTGGTGTTCTGACTCGATGGGTCGTCATTGTGGAAAGACGGACCTGAGAATACCAGGTGTGTTCATCTTTCTCTTGTTTCCCCTGCAGAAGGCTTTGCTGATACGACGATCAGATTACTCTGCAGCACTATTCATGTTATTTATACACGTCCACGTATGTGTATGTCTACCTGTATCGTCGCATCGAGATTGTATCGATATATCCCTCACGACCCTCCATGTAATTGACTAGGCGTACACTTACGCCTCTACGAGCGAAACACCGTTGGATGTTCTCGTATCCCCCGTATGGGAAGTGTTCAACGACTCTTGAACGGCATTCCCTTGTCCCGCGTGACTTCACGCGTGCGTGCACTGCGGGAGGGACGTCCGTCCACATCCAAACGTCGAACCTCTATAGTCGATGAGCATTGAGAGTATGTGTTGCAAACTGAAGAAGTCCTGCGTGACGACACCTGTAGCTCAATCACCGGACCGGCTGCGAGATGGGTATACTGTATACTGTCCCACTTTGCATAACTATTGCGACCAAAAGGAAGAAATTTATCTGCAGCACGGCGACTGAGCAGGGAACTACAGGCTCACTGTTATTTGGGAGACGCCTTGATTTAGAGTTCATGACTTTCCCAGGAGTCGATCCTCTCCAAGGCACTATAGCCAAGTGGTTAAGGCGATAGATTCGAATCACGTGTTCCTTCCGTAGGATCGGAACCTTCGAAGATCTATTCCGCATTGCGGTCGCAGGTTCAAATCCTGCTGGTGTCGTTCTGCTTTTTAGCAGCTTTTCAACGGTCCAAGTTTCGTATTTTTGTCGAAAGATTTGAGCTCTGGAGGGATGAGGAAAGAGATTTTGGGAGGAGGAAGCTTTGGGCGCTTTGTGTTTGGGCGTTGTTGCCTGTTTGGGATGGTGATCGATCGAGTCCGAGTCTCCGTGCTGCAGTCTTCTGGGATGGCCAGTCCTCCATCCCTCTGACTTTATATCTTCTCTACGTAATAACCATGCTATCTTTTGGTTGCATGACGAAGTGGGAACCCTGTCGTTGTGACATCAAGTCATCTCTGCGTAGGACCAATCGTCCCAGTTCATGCTTCTGGCCGACCCGGACGCGCTGGTAGACAGATGAGCCAGACGAGGAATGATTGAAAGTAATAGCTACAGTAGTCTAGAAATACAAAGGTAGGTGTCACATTTCATGCGACGAAGGGACCTGTGTAACATGGCAAAACAGCATACGATACATCGAATACTCATCCGAGGCCGAAGCGTCCAAGCTCAGATATCCGAAGACAAGATTTGCCGACTGAGGTCTTCGAGCACATCCTCGTCCATCTCGTCCAAGTCTCCATTCGTCGTATCTCCGTTGCCCTCGTCGTCCATATCATCCATATCCGCGTCTAGATCTTGGTCGTTGTCGTCCTCGTCCTCGTCTGCGGAAGGCGCCCGGTCGGAGGGCCCTGTTTCGTCGTCATCGTCATCTTCCTCGTCCGAGGCTTCGTCCGCCTGCTTGCGAGTTCGTGAGTAGGGTGTACGAACAAGAGTGTAAGGTGAGAGACGTACGTCGTTCTTTTCCTCGGTTTGGGTCAATGCACGTCCTATCGGAACGAGGAAGTTCGTCCCGCGGTGCCTAATGTCAGAATTCTGCGAGCAACCAACGCTGGATAAGCACTGGTCATAGAGTAGAAAGACAATAGCAACGCACCAACTCGTCCAATTCCTCTTCCTCATCGCTCAGATCATCCATCTCCCGATTCAGGTTACGACGGAACTTGAGCCCGCCGGGCGTGCTGTTGTACGGCGGTAGCGGCGTCGGGTGGTGTAGTGGTGGCTGTGGAAGCAGTGTGGGAAACTGCGGGCTTGGTGGTAGAATCGTTGGTGATGCGAAGGACATGATTTAGATGATAGGAAGGGGGTATTGAGTATTGGTGGAGGAGGCAGTCATGGGCGTACGCGAACAAATCCGAGTCGCGCTCGGACGCGACGCGTTGCTGAGTTGGCGCCCGAGACCATGGCGCTAACCTTCGTCGAAGGCCGTAGCAAACCCCTTCACATTGAGTCTTTCCCGGCTGTAAATTGACTGTGTATACGACAGGTATACGATGTCGCTCTTGAGCATTCAAAACAGTATTCAACGCAAGTCCGCAGCCGCAACATGCCTGGGGGACAACAATAGTAATACGATAGGAAAGCTGGTCCCATCCCGTATGATAATACAACATGTAGTGTGAAGATGCAACTGCTGGGTATGTACGCAATGTTCAGCAGTTGCACTGCGAAGCCTCCGGTACTTCGTTTGACTGCGGTGAAGTGACGTCGATTTCTGAAAACAAGCCATAATCAGACGGTCGTTTCGGTGAGCAGTTGTGGCGATGAGATATACTCACTGGCATTCTGCGCCTCTGCAGCTTCACCCTCCTTCTCCAGCCCTACTAGTGACATGGCGATCTTCTTGAACAGACTCTTCACGTTGTGACCTGCTTTCGCCGACGTCTCCATGAACATGATGTTCAGCTGCGTGGCTTTCTGGTTGGCCTCTTCGAGTGTGACTTGTCTGTGTGACGAAGGAGGCAAGCCATTAAGTCGACATTTCAGCGTAGCAAGGGGGTGAACGGCGACGTACCGCTTGTCCGACAAGTCTGCTTTGTTTCCTACTAGCACAATGATGACATCTGAACTCCGTTCTGCTCGTACATCGTCTATCCACTTCGACGTAGAGAGGAAGGATTGTCGGTCTATGGAACAAGATCAGTTGGGTGATGCAGTACATCAACAGTCATGATAGTGCTCACTGGTGATATCAAATACGACGATAGCGACTGAGCAATCTCGAATGTAGGACGGAATGAGGGAGCGATATCGTTCCTGTAAAGTCAAATGTATGAGCATACAGACAGTAACTTAGCTGAAGACGCCACACACCTGTCCAGCAGTATCCCACAGTTGTAACCGCACCGTTCTGTCCTCCAGGTACATCGCTTTACTCAGAAAGTCGATACCAATTGTCGCTTGGTACGTGTTATCAAACGTGTCATACATAAACCTGCGCCGAATCAAGGGTGTGTTTCAGCGGTCCGCTTCGCATTGCAAGAGAGGGCGAACGCACCTGGTGATTAGACTCGTCTTGCCTACACTCTGGTCTCCGAGCAGCACGATCTTGCTCCGCTTGAGTGGTGGTGACGAGAAATCCGATGTGACTGGTGATGTTGCAGACATGAGGAAGAGCGGGGCGGGTACTGGAAGAGTAGTTTGACCAGATGAACGACGGTATACACAGTGAGAAGGGGCGTGTAGAGTGGACGGAGGTGGCGAGATGGACGTTGAGGACGATGAGCAAGAGACGAGGCCGGCCGAGCGGACAGGTGTCGGCGCAGCGTCGGCGTGTCGCTGCGATGGCCAAAGCGGGCCGGCAGATTCCTTTCCACAGCGGACATCGCCCGGTTTTGCGGCCGGGAAAATCTT